AAATGAACTTAACTTCACACTCCCCACCCTTTTTGTGGATTGGACTTGGAGCCTCAGGATCCTTGGCAAATTCTCAACAGCTGAGCCACACCCTCTACAGCTGAGCCACACCCCCCAGCCCTCTTCACACTTGATGAATTGAAGAGTCTCTTCTGCTGCAACATTCTTCTTACTCTTCACAAGCAGGAAAAGTCTGTTGATGAGAATTCAGACCCACAGGATCTTGGATTATCAGGAAGGAGTTATGGGACATCTCAGCTGGGTGACCATGAAAACATTTCTTTTTTATTTCTTCCTGGCTTTTGAACTAGCTTTTGTAGACCAGGCTGGTCTCGAACTCACAGAGATCCACCTGACTCTGCCTCCCAAGTGCTGGGGTTAAAGGCGTGTGCCACCACCACCCTGCCCATGGAAACATTTCTTATCTGCTCCAAGCCTCGGTTTCCTTATTTGCAAGTTGGAATGATGATATGACCTAACTTAGTGTCTTCCAGAGAGTTAATAAAGCTAAACCTATAATCCCAGCACTTGAGAGGTGGAGGCAGGAGGGCCCAGAATTCAAAGTCACCCTCCATTCCATGAGTTCCAGCTGAGCCTGGGAAACACAAGACCCTGTCCAAACAAACAAACAAAATATTAACTGTGATACTTTCCAGAGAAGCTCTTAGCTCAATGCCTGCTCTATAGAAAACACATCAAATGTGATGTAGCTTAGTGGTAGAGTACTTGCCTAGCACATCCAGGGTCTGGGTTCCAACCAAAGTACTGCAAAACACATACATACTCCAAAAGCTGAGTATGACTCTTTATTTCAGCCCCATCCAGTCCTGTCCTGTTTAGCAGAAATGTCAGGTGAATTCATGTTGCAGTGAAGAAAGAAATGTGTGGTCAGGCGTGGTGGCCCACACCTTTAATTCCAGAACTAAAAAGGTAGAGGCAGGGAACATTTGAGTTGAGGCCAGCTTGGTATACACAGCAAGTTTTAGCCCAGCCCGGGTTATGTAGTAAGACCCTGTCACAAAAATTAAAAAAGAGCTAAAGAGAAGGCTCATTAGTTAAAGCAATTTGCTGCTTTGCCTGAGGACCTTTGTTCCCTTTCTAGCACCCTCATAGTGACTCTCGACCATCCATAACCCCAGTGCCAGGGAATCTGATGCTCTCTTCTGGTCTCCATGGGCACCAAGCACTCACACAGGACACAGACATGCATGCATTCAAAACAAACATACATGTAAAATAAAAATAAACAAAAACAATTGCAAAGACTGTCCTGGTCCACAAAGAGGGCCTGAAGAGTCAATCCAGAACAGTCAGAGCTGACCATAACGCAGTGGCTCTCCCGTGGGAAACTCCTGTTGTCTCTCACCTCTCTGTTGTTTAGAAGAGCAATCAATCAACTGTCTAGTGAGGAACAATAGATCCAGAAATTATTAAATCTAATGAATTTCTGATAATAAAGTGCTTTCCTTGGTGAGGAAGGATCCAGGAGGGAGGGGTTAGGGAGACAAAGCTCATTATATTTCCACTGCCCATATCCTTCAAGGTCCAAGACATTCTTTCTTGGTAACAAGGAAGCATCCCTTTCTTGGTAACAAAGGGGTTGTTTTCCCTGTTCTCTCACAAAATCCAAAAAATTCCTTTATTTTTCCAATGGCTAACCTGGAACCCACTGTGGATCAGACTAGCTTCAACTTATAGTCATCCAACTTCCTCTGGCTCATGTATTCCTATTCTTAGAAATTCACCTTTGACCCAGACACCCCAACCCACATTTCAACTGGGAGAGGGACTCAAAGAGAGAAGTATACAAAACCCAGCACAGCAGTTATTGCCTGATGGGGAATATCCTACTGTATGCTGTGACTATATATTCTTCTTATTGGTTGATGGCCAATGGCTTAACAGGAAATCCAGGTGGCAAATCTGACAGGGATAGAGAGAAGTAATAAGCGGGGTTTGAGGATACGTCATGTAGCTGCTAGGGAGTCAAGATTCCAGGGTATCACTGGTAAGCCAAGACAACATGGTGATACACAGATGCATACAAATGGGTTAGTAAGAAAGAGGCCTAAGCCATTGGCCAAACGATTTTAACAGATACTAAACCTCAGAGTGGTTATTTCACAAGCAGTTTTGGGGACCTGGTGGGTGGAGAAAAACCAGGTCCAAGGGCCTGAGATAGATGGAGAAAGTCTCCTCCAATTGCCATGATCCGGAGCCCATGCTGGTCCAACAAAAGAGTCCTGGCGACCTGGTTCATTATTAAGCTCCAATCTCCGGGCAGTCTTTGGTTCCATGATCACCGAGATTGTGCCAACCAGACTGGCCAGGGGTCACTGTGAGGTGAAAGAAGCAACATGTCTGGAAATGGTGAGTGTAAAACCTGGAATTTTCTACATCGCTCCAAATAAATCTACATGCCTCTCATTATGATCATTACAAAGGATGTAGCTGAGATTGTCCCTTCCTTTGGGACAGCTAAATGCAGTGATGAGGCTGCACCACTAAGGTACATGGACCAAGAGGAAAGTCAGAAATCTTTTTGAATTTATTTGAGGAAGTAATTTCTGCGCTCAACAACACAGTATCATAGAGCAATGACAGGCTGAACACTGGACTCTTGGCTATTGTTGAGTGACTTACTGTGGGATGTTTGCACACTGAAGGTGCATTGCTATGATTGATGTAATAAAAAGCTGAATGGCCAATAGCTAGGTAGGGAGGGTAGGTGGGATTTCTGGGGAGAGAGGAAGAGGAGGAATCTAGGTGCTCAAATTATGCCAGTGAGATGTCAACAAGACAGGGAGGGAGTTGGACATACAGAATGAAAGAAAGGTAAAAAGCTACATGGTAAAATGTACATTAGTAGAAGCAAGTTAAGTTATAAGAGCTAGTGGGACAAGCCTAAGCTAAGGCTGAACTTTCATAAGTAAAAAGGAGTCTCCATGTCATTATTTGGGAGCTGGCTGCCAGGCAGGAAAACTCATTACAGTGGCTTTTGAGACAAAAGGCCTGCCACTGTTTAGCTGTAAATGGAATATTCAATGACACAGATTCATCTAAAAAAATACTAAGTAGTATGGTTAGAGTTGCCAGATTATGCCCAAATAAAACCATTCAACCCAATACTGTGTGTTATCACCATAGCCTGCTAGTGGGGAGCCGAAGGTACCATGCACTTAATCTCTCTGGAATGGGCAAGAGCAATGTACCTGTGTCTTCCTCATCACAAAGTTAACTTCTGGAAAAATGTCACAAGTCTGGCATAGAGTGGTAGTCTTGCATCATAAGCTTAGAATACTTTGTGTCCACACTGGTATAATGGATAAGATGCCTTGTTTGCTACAGTGGTAGATCAGGCAGAAATGGAAACATTCCCAGAAGTGCAAACAGCAGTGAACTGAGATCAGAAGCCTCATTAAAGACAGCCTCCTCAGAGAATGGGCCTCTATTTAAGTGATACATAGTTCCTGGGTAGCTTGAAACATTGTTATCTATAGCCATCCGTTGTTGTTTGAAGGGTTCTCCTTATTGACATTCTCTACTTCACATTTGGGAAATTATGTGACTCAGCTACTACCCCATATCACTTTCCTTTCTTCTCACAGAAATCCACCTGCCTCTGCCTCCTAAATAGTGGGATTAAAGGTGTGTGCCTTCATGCATTAATATTTTTATTTTTATCTTTTTGTGTGTGTTGCTGCATGCACATATGTGCATCATGTGTGTCTGATTACCTCAGGAATGTGATCTCTTGGATCTGCAGTTATAGGCGGTTGTGAGACATCCTGTGGATTCTGGGAAGTGAAACTGTGTTCTCTGTTAAGAGTAGTTAGTGTTCTTAACTGAGCCATTTATCTAACCCATTTCTTCATCTTTTAAAATAATTACTTGTTGCTCTTGCAGATAATCCAGAATTATGAGGAGTACTGGTACTTTAGTTGTAACCCACCCAGACATGAGTATAAGCCATTCTCATCGGCAGGCTACAGCCAAGACTGGAATTGGAACAGTACTCCTCAGGCACTGCACTTTTCATTAAGACAAAGTACTCCTGCAGGTATGCTGGCTATATTTGTGTTAACTTGACATAAACTATAGTCATTTGAGAGGAGGAAGCCTCAATTGAGAAAATGCCTCCAAAAGATCTGTCTGTGAGCCTGTCTATAAGCATTTTCTTAATTAGTGATTGATAAGGGAGGGTGGTCCTGGGTTCTATAAGAAAGCAGGTTGAGCGAGCCAGTAAGCAGCACGCCTCCATGGCCTCCTGGTTCCTGCCCTCGATGTTTTTTGTTTGTTCGTTTTTGTTTGTTTTTTTTTTCGAGACAGGGTTTCTGTGTCTAGTCTTAGTACTGGTTGTCTTGGAACTCACTCTGTAAACCAGGACGCCTCGAACTCCGAGATCTGCCTGTCTCTTCCTCCCGAATTCTGGGATTAAAGGTGTTCACTACTACGTGGCACCCTCACTGCTTTTGATAATGAACTATTATATGTAACTATGAGTGAAATAAATCCTTTCCTCCCTCTGGTTGTTTTTGGTCATGGTGTTCCCGGCAGAACTCTACCTAAAACAGCAGACTTTATATTGTTCTAAGCATTGGTAGAAGATGAACCGACAAACGGACACCCGATGCACTGACCGGTAGGCAGTGCTCTGTTTTAGCCAGCCTAGTCCAAGAGGCCAAAAGAGGTTCTGCGCACTTGCAAAGGACCTTTTATTGCGGCGACTGTTGTGCAGAGATCACTGTGTAAAAGGACAACCCCGAGTGAATTGGGTATTTCTCAGACAAAAGGACCACGCTACCTGCGAAAGGCATAAATGGAGACTATGAAAAATCACATCCAAGTACCGAAGTGTTACCAGGGAGATGGCGCACCACTCAATAGTTCAGGCTGCGAGCCGAGCTCCCAGATCAGGGTCAAATGTGCACCGGACACGCCCACTTTGAATAAAGTGAAGCCCAGGAACCCATGGTGCGTCACTTCCGCCCTCATTAGCCCACATGTGAGAGGCAGAGCCGCAGAGGGGCGCGTTTCATTTGTGTCACTTCCGGCGAGCCTAACAGTGTCCACGGCAACATGGCCTTGAACGGCGCTGGTGAGGGCTCGGGTTACTTGGGTCGTAGCCGTGGGGTGCTGGAGGCAGTTCTCTGCGCCCTTACTCCATCTCCTTGTTCCTTTTCCCCCTAGAAGTTGACGATTTCGCCTGGGAACCTCCGACAGAAGCTGAGACGAAGGTGCTGCAGGCGCGACGGGAGCGGCAGGATCGCATCTCTCGTCTCATGGGCGACTACCTGCTCCGTGGTTACCGCATGCTGGGTGACACGTGCGCGGACTGCGGGGTGAGGCGAGTGACGAGGATGAGGCCTTGGGCTAGGCCGAACGTCCTTTCCTCAGCTCTCTCTTCTGTGGACCCTGTCGCTCAGGCTCACCTGTGTTCGTGTGCTTTCTGGTTCCCAGACGATCCTCCTCCAAGATAAGCAGCGGAAAATCTACTGCGTGGCTTGTCAAGAGCTCGACTCAGATGTGGATAAAGATAATCCGGGTGAGGGGGACGAGGGTGCACTTTGGGGAAGGGAACGCAGGACGCGATAGCTATCCGGGAACAGTAGACTTGGGAGGTGACTTGGGAGTATGTGTGTGCGGTGGGATTAAGGTACCTTCTTGTTTTAGCCCTAGAGAGGAGGAAAAACACTAAACCTTTAGTTCCCGATACTGTGGATAGACTCGGAGCTTAGTCAAGCCATCTCCACATGCGGAGTGGAGTGGAGGTACTGCTTTGGGCTTTGCACATGTTGGGCAAGCGCTTTGCCACTGAAGTTCCCATCCCAGTCTTCATGCACAGACTTGATGGATGAACGAGGCCAGGGCACCTGGCGGGCAACTGGTATATTGCTTGCCTAGCGTGTATGAGGAGAAAGGAGAGTAGGGGCTAGATGGATTGTCTTACACAGAGAACACTGGAAGCTCAGGAGGGGCAATAAAGAGCGAATGGCTTAGGGCAGAGGTGCACCAAGACATCCTGACTACCCCACCTATTTTCTTTTAGCTCTGAATGCGCAGGCGGCCCTCTCTCAAGCTCGGGAACACCAGCTCGCCTCCACTACAGAGCCTGCCACAGGCTCTCGGCCCACACCCCAGCCCCCAGTACCTCGTCCAGAGCACTGTGAGGGAGCTGCAGCAGGGCTCAAGGCAGCCCAGGGGCCTCCCCTTCCTGCTGCCCCTCCAAATGCAGATGTGGTGGCTTCCACACAGACGGCCCTCCTGCAGAAGCTAACCTGGGCTTCAGCTGAGCTGGGATCTAGCAGCTCCTTGGAGACTAGTATCCAGCTGTGTGGGCTTATCCGGGCTTGTGCTGAGGCCCTATGCAGCTTGAAGCAGCTGCAGCACTGAGGCCTCTACTCCAACATGTGTTCCCCTGAGAAAAACCCTCTAGAAAAACAGCTGTTCCTTTGTGCGGTTTGTTCTTTCTTGGTTCTGAGAGTGCAGGCAAGCCCCGGCTCTATTCATGAATTTTCTTACTTTGGATCTCACCTTTTTATGGTCTTTTCTACCCAAATGATGCATTTTTTGCATTCAGGACAAAGGGGTAAATGGTAGAGGGATAAGTGACACTTTATTCCGAGGAAGTAACCTGAGCCTCTTCAAAGGCTGTGCTGCTAGTATTGCCTCTGATCCGATACCCTTTCCTCCACCTTCTGGACCTGAATGACATTTGAACTTTCAGTCCCCTTGGTGCTTTCTTCCCTCCTCTGAGCATCTTGAGTCTATGATTCCATCTTAATGTCCACTAGGATGCTGACATGTTAAGGGGGTGCCCAGCCAAGCACTTTTAAGAGCCAGGCACAGTCTTACTCCATTCTCTGGCCTCCTCATCCCCACACTTTTATTAGAGTTTTTTCCTTGGGAGAGGTATTGTGTAGAACACATTATGTAGGAATGAGGTAGCAAGAAGAGCAGCCAAACCCTTTCGTTCTAACCCTTTCGTCTTCACCCCTCCCAGTTCTTTCATTGGTGGGTTGCTGGGCCCCACATCCATCGCCGACTTAAGGGAGGCCACACCCATGCAGAAGGGGAGGAGCATAGGCGGAGTCCGAGGAGTCTGGGAAGGAACAAAGCACGGCCTGCGGGCGGCGGCTGGGCTCCCTCCGGAGGCTGGGCCACAGGGAGCGGGGCCTGTGGGCCGCAGCCTGAGTGAAATCTTGGAGGGGTCCAGGTGGCATAGCGGTCCGTGCCGGTCGGGCCATGAACGGTCTGCCCTCAGCTGAGGCGCCGGGAGGCGCGGGCTGCGCTCTGGCCGGGCTCCCGCCGCTACCGCGCGGCCTCAGCGGCCTTCTTAACGCTAGTGGGGGTTCATGGAGGGAGCTGGAGCGCGTCTATAGCCAGCGGAGCCGCATCCACGACGAGCTGAGCCGTGCGTCCCGCGTCCCGGACGGTCCCCGTCACGCTGCGGGCGCTGCCAGCTCGGGCTCTGCTGCAGGCGCGCGCCGCCCGGTTAACCTGGACTCCGCACTAGCCGCGCTGCGCAAGGAGATGGTGAGTAGGTGGGCGCCCCACCAGGGGTGGTGTGCTGCGGAGAGAGCAGAGATAAGTGTGAAACCCGTGTCCTCGGTCTCAGGCCCAGCAGGAGACATCGGGTCACTGGGCTTTAGAATAGCTGTGATAGTAACAATGTCTAGCAATTGTTGCATTTTAAAAACTTGCCAGATTTCATCCTGCTGGACAGTGTTACACCATTGTATAAATGAGGGCCAGTGACTGGCTTAAAGGTTTTACAGTTGGCAAGTGCCATCTGTTGTTTCCAGAACTTTAACGTAAGAAGGTGCAGTAAGATTGGGTAGTGTTGTGGCTCATGGTGGGGACTTTGGGTTTTGGAGGCTGGGGGTGGCCTGGACCCCCAACTCCAGCCCACTGTCAGTTGTCTGCAGGTGGGGCTGCGGCAGCTGGATATGTCCCTGCTGTGCCAGCTGTGGGGCCTATATGAGTCGATCCAGGACTACAAGCATCTGTGCCAAGACCTGAGCTTTTGTCAGGACCTGTCATCTTCCCTTCACTCGGACAGCTCCTACCCACCTGATGCCGGCCTGTCTGATGACGATGAGCCTCCTGATGCGAGCCTGCCCCCAGACCCTCCACCCCTCACTGTGCCCCAAACACACAATGCCCGTGACCAGTGGTTGCAGGATGCCTTCCAAATCAGCCTCTGAAAAGCTGAGGTGGATAGGAATGCATCCATTACAAAAGGCTCAAAACTTGCCCTTCAGCAAGACCTTAGTCGACAGTGCCTGCTCCTTTACCAGGACCACCTCACCTCACTTCAGGAGGGCAAGGCATATACCCAACAGGCAAAGCAGTCAAGATTGCAGCCAGTGCCTAGTGCTCTGAACTTCCCACTTCTCCCACATGTGTGCACCCTAGCTTGGCCAGCCCTTACTTAGTCTGACCATGGGGTCTAAAGTGTCTTGCAATCCCGCTGGCATCTCTGGGACTGGAATGATTGCCTAGCTCCCATCTCTTTTTCATCTGCTGCCACTTGCAGCTGCTGGCTCAGGGGCATCCCTACCTGTGGCCCCAGGGTTTCCCTCCCTGGGACAAGGGCTCCAGGATCCATCCCTGCAGCCACCCACGGCCAGAAAGGCTAAGGTCTCTATGCTGGATATTTAAGTTTAGGGACCAGTTCCTGGATGGGGAAATAAATACTTTGAACATTGTGTTCTGATTGCCTGGTTGATTGATACTCGGTTGGGAATACAGTAGCTTCTGGCAAGGGCGGTCCGGATTCTGCCGGCAGATGGCGCCCAAGACCTCCTAGTGAAAGGCGGAGAGGGCGCAGGGTGAGAAATAAAATACTTTCAACATTGTATTCTGATTGCCTGGTTGACTGGTACTTGGTTGGGAATACAGTGGTTTCTGGCAAGTGTGGTCCGAGTTTTGTCTGCAGTTGGTGCCCAAGACCCCCTAGTGAAAAGCGTAGAGGGCACAGGGTGTGAAACTTACCTCTTCCAGCAAGGTTGGAAACTTTCCAGGCTCCTGGAGCCTGGCTCTGCAGTATGTAAAAGCAGTGGAGTGTCTTCCCCTGGGCTCTAAACTTCAGAACCCAGCTTCCCCTTCTCCTTTGCCTTGAGCTTTCCGGGAAGGAAGGAGCCGCCCATCTTGAGGAGAGAAACTTTCCACCTCCAGTGCTGGGCGGGCAGAGTTGCAGCGGAACAGGAAATGGGTGGGCCAGTGCTGGCTGACCCAGGGGCCCATCAGCATGAGTGGGAAAGCTTCAGGACTCTTCTTGGAGTCAGAACTCCGTGGGTTGTAGGGGCGGTCGTGGGAGGGAGAGGTGTAGAGTCCGAAAGGAGTCAAGTTTCAGTGTGTACACAAGTCCTGGAAACGAGACCACAGCAGGACTCAAACCATCGTTTCTAGAGACTCAGCAGCAAAAATTGGGGGCTCAGGCACTTCTGTTGCAGTCTCAGACCACCCAGCCTCCCCGGGACCTCAGCACTAAGGACCTGTAGGGTTGTACGCAAAGGACAAAGGACTTCCTCGAGGAAGCAGAGGACCATGCCGATGGGGTGGAGAGACAAACCGAGTGCCTGGCCCACAAGAAGAAGTCTCACGTTGACGAGGTTGCAGCCGGGCACCTCATCCCCACTTCCTACCACAGTCAGTTGCTGGCTGGAGATGCCACCCAGCTGGCACTCCTGGAAGACCAGATGTCCTTTCCAAACAGGGTTTATCAGACACCGGGCAGGGAGAGAACACGTAGCTGTGTTGCTCTAGGGCAGTTCCCTAAGTGAGCATAAGACATCTCGCAGAAGCTCATTACCATTCAAGTTGGATGGGTGAGTGATAAGGAGGGTAATCTAGGCGTTAACACAACAGGGGAGGAGGGAAAACACCCATGGACACATTTTCTTTAACCCTGATAACGGATTGTGTTTATAGATCAGCCAGGCCTTATGCTATACCAGGTTTCAACCTTCTACTACCATAAAAGATGGCACTATAATTGACCCCATTTAACAGACTTCAAAACTGAGGCTCAGAGTGTTAGTGCTTTGTCCAAGGTGGCACTCTTGATTAGAAACAGATTATTATAACCTTTCATTGTTTGTGAGAAATGAGGACTGTTTTCCCTCATGCCAGATGAGAAGTCAGATTTTGAGATACTAGGTGCATCCCGCCAAGGCTGTCTCCCGATTCTGAACTTTTCTCTCTGGTTAAGAAGCCATGGGTGTTAACAAGAGTCTCCTACCCCAGAACTAAGGACCACTGGCTCTGGTCCAGTAGACGTTCAGGACTCTGAGCAAGTCCCTTTCCTTCCTAGGTCTCTGCTCTACAAGCTTGCGAAATGGGGTACCAAACAGTACCACAAGGTTGCAGGCAGGAAGGGAGGCAGCTTGGGCAGCTCTTTGGAGGACAGCACCAAGTTGAAGGTTGTCATCTCTTGAAGCGCACACGTCCCTTCACACACACACACCCCATCCGGCCCGCGGGCGCCCACCAAGTCGGCCTTGCGGTCGGGACTCTTTCCCTCCACCCCCAAGCCGGGTGCCGGTGCCCCGGTCGCGAAGCTAGGTCCCGGAAGCAGGGTCGCCCCGCCCCGCGCTGCAGCCCCGCCCGCCTTCGGACGGGGGTGCGGCTCCAGGAAACGGCGCGCTCGCAGCTCCGAGCTCCAACCAGCTCGACGCTCCGGGACCACTTCGCAGATTCAGCTAGCTCACCCGGCGGACCCCAGCGGGCGCCCCAGCAAGCACGACCTAGATCCGAACCTAAGACACCTCTTCACGGACCGGGCAGACAGGACAGGTATAGCAGAAAGGGGCCCCAGAGATCATGGGGACCCTAACGGAGCCATCAGTGCCAAGCAAGCGGGATCCCCGAGCCTAAAAAGTGGACGGCAAGAGCTGCTAGGGCCATGACTTCGGTGTGGAAGCGCCTGCAGCGGGTGGGCAAGAGAGCCGCCAAGTTCCAGTTTGTGGCTTGTTACCATGAACTGGTGTTGGAGTGCACCAAGAAATGGTGAGTAGAAGGGAGACCCGAGGGAGTCCCCCAAGACTGAAAAAAATTAAACCCCCCAAGTCTAACGGCTAAAGGGGTTCCCGTCCTAAGTGTGTCTTGGCTTGGGGGGGGGGACTCCAGGACTTGAGAGGTGTGGAGAGCCTTGTTGGGGGCAAGGCTCACAGGCAGGAGAAGAATCTGTGCTCACGCTTAAATCGGCTGTGGTCAGGACTGAGGGAGGAGGCTTCATTCTTCAAGCCAAGACTGGCGGTGCAGGGCGGGCAGTGGAAAAAGGAACAAGGTCTCCAGGTGGCCAAGGCCGGGATAGACTTCATGGATCTTAGTCAAGTTCAGAGCAAAGATGTGGCCTTCTCTTTTTCTGCCCCTCCCCCTTCAGCCAGAGTGGGCCCCAGAGGCTGGAGATGTCTCCACAATGTCCTTAAAAGGGGAAACTGAGCTTGGAAGGATGAAGAGGAGGCGGGGAGAGGCTTAAAGGGGCCTGAGGTCCTAGGGGTTGGTGGGTCCAGGAGGAGAGGATCTGTAGAGGAAAAGCTAGCCAGATGAGAGGACAGCATACAAGATTGGTTAGGCCTTGCCTTGGATTGTCAAAGGGCCTTGGGGGCATCTGGCTCACACTCTCCCGGGGCAGCTGCCCAGGCCCCTGCGTCACACCCTAAATATATGTGCTCGCTGGTGTCAGCTTCCCTTGGCTGGATTAGGGCACAGCTGTGGGGGCCTCACAGGCCAGGCAGGGCTAAATATAGAGAGTCCCAAGGGGAAAGAGCAGGGGTAGGCCGGAACCATGGGGTCCTTGGGGCAGCCACCATTAATCTCTGGCCTTGAATATGCTGGGCCTGCTGGGAGGCCTTCATGCAGTGAAGGCTGAGGGAGAATAGGAACTAGTTGGGGCAACAGCAGAGCTGGCACTTGAACTTTGGCCTCTGGTTCCTGCCCCAGTATTCTGGGTGAGGCTAAAGGGATGCTGGGCATGGTTCTGGTAAGTAGACAGAGGGTGCAGACAGTGTCAGTGGGCTGAGTCACAAGCAGCAATGGATAAGGCCGTCTGGGCTTCTTAGCCAGGAGCCCAGGACAGGAAGCTGCCCCTGCCTAGGTCACAGCTTCCCAGGAAGGCGTGCCTGCTGTCCTGAGTCAGGCTGTCCAACTAAGCCACACCCTCCCTAGGCACCCCTGCTGTTTCCCTTTTCTGGGAAGGCCTTGCTGGGCCTTTGCCTGTGGTTTGGGGCTGGGAATGTTTGCTTACTTCTGGGTCAGAGGACTCTAGACTCAGCTGTGTGACCTTATCTGGCCTACTTCTATGTGTCTCAGAAACCTCAAGGGTTAAGAGCAAACCACTGGTCCTGCCTCAGCCTCCAGAGAGGCAGTGAGTTGGACAGACCTAAGCATCCAGGCATGGGCTGGAAACAGGCAGGGAAGGAAGGCTGTCATGAAACCTCCACCTGATCCTTTCCTGGACCAACCTCGCCCTCCTGGGCAGTGGTTAGACATGAACCCCAAGAGGCCCTGCCCCTAGGGCCTAGCCACGTGTCAGCACCTTGTCAGGCACCATCCCTGAGCAGCTCCCTCCTTGCCTGTCTCTGCCTTTACACCTGTCTGCCTCTCTGGAGTCTGTGCAGCACACGCTTGCTGTTCAGCTTAGCTGTCCTTGTCTGGGAGCCTCCTCAGACTTCCCTTGGGCCTCATTGTCTTCGTCCATTCAGTGGTCAGTGGATCTGGATTTCAGGAAATAGGAGTCCTGCCTGAGCCTCCTCAGGGTCAGCAAATGCAGCAAAGCACAGTAGACCTTCAGTGTATGGGGGTTGTCTGGTGGTGAGCTAACCCTGTGCTTCTCCAGCCTCACTCCTCCCATTTGCCCTCACTCTGCCTCTGCCACTCCCCTAGCCTCAGATTCTTGTACTTGACTAGTTCCTCCACTGGAGCCTTCCCTGAAGAACAGCAAACAAAACCACCTCCTCTACTCCTGCCTCAAAGAGACATCAGGCAGGCCCTTTTTCAGCCCCCTAAAAGTTGTTTATTTTCACACACACACACACACACACACACACACACACACACACACACACCAGGCTGCCCTTGCACTCACAGACATGCTTCCAACTGCCTCCCAAGGCATTAAAGATCTGCACCACCGAGCCAGGCATATTCCTTGACTTCAAAGGGTCTTGACTCAGCCCTAGAGTCTTTCTCCTTTACTTTGCCTTCAGAACAAGCTGAGCTCCAGAGGCACTCCATAAATATTTGTGAATAAAAGGACTTCTTTATCACCAAGGCTTTGTCTTCTCTGTGTGCACACATGTGTGTATATGGCTTTTCCTGTCTGTTACTCTTTTTCAAAGGCCCTGCTGGACCATGATGTCCCAATCTCCACTGTCCAGGCCTTTGCCCTTCAGTCCCTGCCCCACCCTGCCTGAGCAGCCCCACCCTATACCCTGTGACTCCAGATAAGAAGCTGCCCATGCCCTCTCTTTGGGAAGATGATCAGGGGAGACCCCCAGGGTGCTAGGGAAAGGATGAAGAGAAGATGGGGAAGCAGGATTGGGCCTGGCTAAGTAGCAATTCCCTTTCTTCCAGGCAGCCAGACAAACTGGTAGTGGTATGGACTCGTCGGAACCGACGCATTTGCTCCAAGGTGAGAAAGACTGGCAACTGGAGGTAGGGCCAAGGGAAAGCTAGATGGGAGTTGATGGTAGAATGTAATTAGGTTCAAGTCATAGCAGTGTCTACAGGGAGAAAGGAAGATGGGGGGAAGAAGATCAGGGCCTGATGGTGATGGGGAAAAGTTAAGACTCAGGGGAGGACACCCTACTACCTCTTACAGGCCCACAGCTGGCAGCCTGGCATCCAGAACCCATACCGTGGCACTGTAGTGTGGATGGTCCCTGAGAACGTGGACATCTCTGTGACCTTGTACAGGGTGAGTCTCTAGAGTTTGGGCATAGACTAGAATAGGCAGAGAAGAGCAATGCTTGGTACGTGGCTCTACTGGTAGGTTGTTCACTCACTTGAAAGAATCAGTGGTAGAACAGAAAATTTTGTGGGTTTATTGCTAGTGGCTGAAGAGATCTTCTTGAAAGAGGCAGCATTAACCCAGCTTGTAAGGAAGTCACCTGGGATCGGAAGCTAGGGCACAAGGACTAAAGAGCTGGCTCAGCAGTTAAGAGCACTGGCTGTTTCTCCAAAGAACCTGGTTCCATTCCTAGCCCACACATGGCAGCTCATAACTATCTATAACTCCAGTTCTAGGGGATCCAACACCTTCTTCTGTCCTATAGGGGCACTGCGAACACATGTGCACAGACATACATGCTGGCAAAGCACTCATACACATGAAATCAAAATAATTATTTTAAAAAGAAAAAAAGGAGTCAGAGTACAGGGCTGGCTGGAGATGTAGTTCAGTTGGAGACCATGCATGAAGTTTGAGGTATAATCCAGTACTGCATATATACACTCAGAGAAGCCAAAGTGCATTCCAGGAGGGAGCAGCAGGTGTGAGGGCCCTGCCCCACCCCCCAGCCGATGCATGCTCTTCTGGCATTGCCCTCCTTGAAACCCAGTGCTCACCAGTCCTCCCCTCTCCAGGACCCTCATGTGGACCAGTATGAAGCTAAAGAGTGGACTTTTATCATTGAAAACGTGAGTGTCTGGGTAGGTTGGACATGAAATCTCAGGGACCTCAGGATAGCACTGATGCTGTCTCCTCTCTTCCCCCACCCACAGGAGTCCAAGGGACAGCGGAAGGTACTGGCCACAGTTGATGTGGACCTGGCCCGTCACGCAGGGCCTGTGCCTGCTCAGGTTCCACTTCGACTGCGACTGAAGCCCAAATCTGTGAAGGTAGTGCATGCTGAGCTGAGCCTCACCCTTTCTGGGGTGCTGCTGCGTGAGGGCCGTGCCACGTAAGTCTCCCCCATCCTCCCAGACCCTGGCCTGTGATCCCTGACCCCAGCCCTCACCCCTGACTTCAAACCCACAGGGATGATGACATGCAGAGTCTGGCCAGCCTCATGAGTGTGAAGCCTAGTGATGTGGGCAACTTGGATGACTTTGCTGAGAGCGATGAAGATGAATCTAATGGCCCTGGGGCTCCTGAGGTCCGGGCACGAGGCCCCCAGTCAGGTAAGCTCACAGTCATCTATGGGTTGAAACTGCCAAGACTTATGATGGATCACATGTGCTGGTTGTTGTGGGACAGAGCTGGCTTGTGTACAGCCAAAGAGAGGTCCTCATTACATCAGCTCCAACCTATCCAGCAGCTCTGATTATACAAGCTTGGTCTTGGTCCTATGGGTGTGTCAGTCTTGAGCAGAGTCCTGTAGAATGAGTTCCCAATATCTCCCCATGTCTCTGGCCATCTCATCCTGAGGTGGATGCCTGGGAAGCTGGGTCACATGAAGTGAGGGCTCTGTCCAGTCTCCTAACCCTCATGTCATCTGCCTTCCTCCCTTCTGCTTTCCCTCCCTTTTGGCCTTTTGGCCTTTGTTTTTGTGGTTCTTTCTCACTTTTTTTCTTTCTGCATCTGTGGGCCTGCCTCTTCTCCAAGGCCGGGGCTGTGCCCTGAGGCTGGGACGTTTCCCAGGTAGGCCTTGAACTCTAGTTGGGGATCAGAGTGGGGCTCAAATCCTGCTTTGGCCTGACTATACCCCTCCAATGGATCCTCTCAGATCTCTCTCGAGAGCTGAAGACACTGTGTGAAGAAGATGATGAAGGCCACGCACGGCCCCAGCAGGCAGGTAAGACTTGGCCTGAGACTGGGGTTGAGGACTGGACCAATGTCACAACACAGTCCTCAGTATCCCCTCTCTTTCCCCCTAGCTGCCAGACCCTGTAGTGCTCAAGAAGCCAGCCCTGCCCCTGTGAGTGCCCCTGCGCCCCCGGCCAGGGCCTCCCGGGGCCAGGGGTCAGAACCAGCTGCTGTAGCCGGGGGCCAGGTGGGGCCTGAAACCCCAAGGCCCCCACAATCCCCAGCAGAGACAAGGTAAGGGACCAGCTCTTTTGCTGTTAGAAGTAGATGCACCCCCCCCATCTCACCCCCATCTCCAACTTCCTCTCCAGGGCTACAATATTCTCAAGGGTGGTAAAGAGGTGGGTGTAAGTCTAAACAGGAGAGCGCTACAGTACTTGTTCATTCTCTTTCCTCAGGTCCACCAGGCAGCCAGGCCAAGACATGGTCCCGACCCCAGCCCCTCGGCTCCGGAAAGGCTCTGATGTATCCCAGTCCTCAGTCCCCTACAGGGGGGATAAGGACCCCAATACCTCAGAGGATCCTCCAATAGGAGTGGGTTCTTCTGGGGAGCCCCAGGCCCAGATAAGCTCCCAGGGAGGGACAGAGGGCCATGGAGCTGAGCCAGAGCCAGACACTGAGGGCAGAGGCTCTGGGGATGCCCTAGGAGGAGAAAGATCTGAAGTTGAAGAGGGGGACACTGGGAACAGGCAAGACGCTAGTGGGGCAGGAGAGGCTGAAGAGGGTTCAAAACTTCATCAAGTAGATGCAGAACAGAGGTCACAGGTACATGTAGCCATGGAGGGGCTAGAGGCTGCAGGGCTGGTGCCTAAGGCAAGACTCTGGGAAACGCCTGAGGCTCCTCCAAGGAGTGTTCAGAGGAGGATGGGGGTAAGGACCCTAGAAGAGGCTCCCAGTGACCTGACCCAACCTCCAGCTGAGCCTGAAGGGCATGTAGGGCCCCTCAGGGATGCCACACCTGCAGGCCAGGAGAGAGAAAGCATAGAGGTCAGGGGCAGAGCCCCTGTTAGTGGGAGGACAGGCCTGGAGCAGGGCCCCTCTGCTGGAGCAGCAAGCTTTGGGGACCAGGCAAGCAGCTTTCAGAAAGTCCCATTAGTTGGCCAGAAGGTAGTATTTGCAGATCTGAGGGCCCAGGAGGCAGAGGTTGGGGAGCCAAGGGTTCTGGAAAAAGAGATTGAGTGGGTGCCAGAGAAGGTTATAGGGATGCCAAATACAGATGTTGGGAGATCTGAGTCCCCAGAAATAGAGACTGGGACAGCAGAATCTGAAGTATTGGAGGCACCAGGGTCAGAAGCAGCAAGATCAGAGGTCCTGGAGCCAGAGGCTACTGGAGCAGCACAGTCTGAGGTACTGAGGACCCAGGATAAAGAGATTGGGGTTCTGGGGATGCTGAGGACAGGGGTTGAGATAAGGGAGTCTAAGGAATTTAGGATCCAGGAAACAGATGGAGATTTTATGGTTCTAGGTACCAAGACAGTGACAGCAGAAACTAAGATATTGGAAGTCCAGGAGGTCACAGATGGGGGAGCGGATGTACTGAAGGTAGAGGCTGAGATACTGGGAACCCCAAAGACAGTGGCTAGGGAGGCAGAAACTGGAACACTGGAGACCCAGAAGGTGGCAGCTGAGGGCTCAGAGGGTCCAAAGGTGGAGGCAGAGATGGCAAAGTCTGATGTATTGGGAATGCAGGAGACAGAGATGGGAACTTGGAGTATTCCAAAGACAGGGACTGAAGCAACAGTAACTGAGATATTGGGGATCCACAAAATAGCATTTGAGGGTTCAGGGCCCCCACAGATACAATCTAGAATGGTAGGGTCCCAAGAGACAGAGATGGGAGGTTCAGATGTTTCAGTGATAGAGACAGCAGAAGATGGTATACTGGGAATGCAGGAGACATCAGCAGCAGGTCATGGAGTACTTTGGATAGAAGCCAAGAGACCAGAATCCAAGGTTAAAGGGTCCCTGGAGATAGAAGAAGGAGACTTGGGGATTCTAGAGGTAGACCCTGGACCAGTGGAAGCCAAGATATTAGAGGCCCCAGAGATAGCAGCTGGAGTTTTTGAGGTGTTGGGAATAGGAACTGGGGAGGCCAGGGTCATGGAAACAGAGGCTGGCTCTTCAGAAGTTCCAGAGACAGAAGCCAAAGAGGCTGAGATACTGGAGGGCAAGGAGCTATCTGGAGGTTCTGTGGCCCTGAGAATAATGGCAGAGATAACGGAATCTAAGATGTTAGGGGTCCAGAAGACAGAGGTGGGAGGTCCTGAGCTGTCACAGACAGAGGTTGGAGGGGCAGAGGGGACCCAGAAAATAGCATCTGAGGGTTCAGGAATTCCAGGGATGGAAGCTAAGATGGAAGAGTCTGAGATCTTGATGTCCCAGGAGAAAGAAATGAAGATTTGTAAGATCCCAGAGGTAGAAACAGAAACAGTGGATGCTGAGTTATTTGGGACACAGAGGGCAGAAATAAGTTTAGAGACCCCAGAGTTAGAAACTGAGACAGTAACATCTCAGATTCTGGAGCCCCAAGAGACAGAAGTAAGGGAGTCAGGGCTTCTGGGAACAGAGAGTGAGGTAGCAGAAGCTGAGGTGCTGGAAGCCCAGAAAATAGAGGTCAAGGTAGCCAGGGCCCAAGAAATAGAAGCTAGGAATTCTGTGATCTCCAGGCCAAAGGCTGGAACAGCAGAGGCTGAGGTACTGAGGGCCCAATGGACAGAATCTATAGTTTTGGAGTCTGAGAACGCAAAGGCTGACCCTTTGGGGGTCCAGGATCCTGGAGCTCAAGGGACTCTCAAGTATGAGGTCTTAGGAGTTGCAGTGACTAAGCAAAGAGTTTCTGGAGTCGAGGGTATGGCACCAGAGGTGTCCAGGGTACAAGAGACAGAAAGTAAAGTTTTGGGGACAATAGAGGCAGAGTCTTGGACTGTGGGGCCACAGGAGGCAGAGAGGGAGGGGTTTGAGTCTCCAAAGAATAAATCTGATATTTTTGAGGCCCAGGAAACAGAATCTGGGGTCTTGGGAACGGTGAAGGGAAAAGACGCTGACGAAAGCCGGGAAGAGGCCAGCCTGACTAAGACACAGGTGGTCAGTGGGGCAGGGGCTGGGGTACCCAGGCCCTCGGGGGCCTCTTCCCCAGAGGCGCCTGAAGAGGACAGGAGGCTGCCGGGCAGCCAGGTAGGGATGGGGGCCACTGGTGGCCAGTCTGCTTCTTCCACTAACCTGGGGCTGAGTGCACAGTGGCTCTGCATGGACCCACCTGGTAGAACGAGATGCAGTTTTGGAGGGGAGGGGGGTTCAGATTCAAGAAGGTCCCTCAGGATGTCCTGGCCCTTTCGCCCTGCTAGGCTGCATGGAGCTGTATACCTTTAAACTGATTTTCTGGGCTGACTTTGAGGTGTTGCTGCTGTTGACCTCTGACTTTGCCTGGGTACACTGACCTTTTAGGTGACCTTGGAAGATAACTTCCTTACCCCAAGCTGGAAACCCAATGCCCTGGCCAGTGATCTCTGATGATCCTTGCAAACTTAGAGCTGGGGTGTTTTTATGCCAGGCCTGGGCTTCCCCAAAGAGCAGAGGACAGAAGTCATTATAATACATCCTCTGAATCCATCCTTGTGTCCCCAGGCACCACCTGCCCTGGTCAGCTCTAGCCAGTCCCTGCTGGAGTGGTGCCAAGAGGTCACCAATGGCTACCGTGGTGTCTGCATCACCAATTTCACCACATCCTGGCGCAATGGACTGGCCTTCTGTGCTATTTTACATCGATTCTACCCAGACAAGATGTAAGCTGCCAGGGGCATGGGGATGGATGGGCAATGAGCCTGCAGGGACACCAGTGCCATCCATTTCTTACCAGCTCTCTTTCTCTGCAGTGACTATTTTTCCCTTGACCCACTCAACATCAAACAGAACAACAAACAGGTGAGATGAGGAGGGAGTCATGGCTGAAGAAAGGGTCTAGCTAGAGACTCGGGCTGCTGGCCTGAGATTTGGAGTCTGAGGTTTGGAAACTTTAAAATCTTTTTGGTTATTAAATTGTTTGCCCTAGTTTTGTTCTGGTGTTTTTAATTTCAAAAGCATATTTTCCCTAGGTTTTTTTTTTTTTTTTTGCTAAAAATCATCCTTTGATAGCTGGTAGGCGATGTGCAGTTGCTAGGTAACAGTGAGGGCGGGCCATGTTGCTATATTTCCCTCTACCGGTTGGTGAAGGCGTTGCTAAGCAAATCCTGGCTCTAGAGTTTCAGGGACCCCCTAGGTTGACTTGGGTCTGGAGTGTTGCTCAATCACTGCTGCTTCTGACCAGAGTGCTCACTTGCTAGGCTTTTGATGGCTTCGCTGCCCTGGGCGTGTCTCGGTTGCTGGAGCCAGCGGACATGGTGCTTCTGTCCGTACCTGACAAGCTCATCGTCATGACCTACCTGTGCCAGATCCGAGCTTTCTGTACCGGACAGGAACTTCAGCTAGTGCAGCTGGAGGGCGGTGGTGGCTCTGGCACTTACCGCGTGGGTAACGCCCAGCCTAGCCTGCCCGACGGCCTGGACGCAGGAGACCTGGCGCAGAGGCTACGCCAGCATGGGGCTGAAGCGCCCACAGAGCCCAAGCAGGCTGTGAACCCCGCGGCTGGGGCGGTGCCCAAAGTGGCTTCTAGGGACAGGGACCTGGGCTATGCCTCCAAGGATGGGGAGGCTGAGGCTGCCCAGGAAGCAGTTCCCCCAGAGGTGCCCTCTGAAGGCCCCAGAGCCCGGTCATCCACATCCCCCGTGGCCTCCACAGAGGGCCTGGTAAACGGAGTGGGGGCACCAGGTGGTATGAGTGGTGTGAGACTGAGACGGTCCTCGGTCAATGGGGAAGCAGGGCCGGTACCCCCACCCCGCGCACATGGCTCTTTCTCCCACGTGCGTGATGCTGATTTGTTAAAGAAGAGGCGATCCAGGCTACGGAACAGCAACTCCTTTTCTGTGGATGACCCGGACTCTGGAGCAGCAGTCGGCGCAGGACCTGCAGGAGCTGGGGCTGTGGTGAGTACCCCTACCCTGCTGCAGCTTAGGATACTGGGGAGCTTTCAGAGAAGGGTCCTGAATTGTCACAATGTCAGAGCTGGTGCAGGAATGGCAGCTTCAGAGAAGTTGCTTCGCTGGATGCTGGGATACACTTCCATCAGATGGACCCTGGTGCTGTGGAAGGATCCCCTGATATGGTACTGAGCTTCCTGTCGGGGGACAAAGCCCACAGAACCCCTAAACTGTGCTGCCAGTTTTGTGTGTGTGAGCTGTTTCTAACATCTGATACCCAGTTTGTAGAAACATGGGCTGTAGTAGGAAGTTCCTTGAAGGCTCCAAGTTCGGCACCAGCTCTTTGGGCCTTTTTTTTTTTTTTTTTTTTTTTTCCTCTGTGGGTGGCTTTGGGTGTCACCTTGTCCCATAGCTAGAGGAAGGGATACTGTCCTTTAGTGGCCTGTGAAGCTCCTCCCAGCCTCCTTATTCTCTGACTTGAATTTTTAACCCCTGAGGTTTAATGGGAGTTAGGAGGTGGAAGTTGATGCCTGAGAGAGTATTTCTACCCCTATGCCCTAGAGCTCTCTCTCTCTCTCTCTCTCTCTCTCTCTCTCTCTCTCTCTCTCTCTCTCTCTCACACACACACACACACACACACACACCTTCATTTGCTAAAGGAGAGATGCCACTATAGGAATCCCAGAGACTCAAGATGAACTCTGCCCACAGACTTTCAATCTGAGGGTGATATCAGAAGAAGCCACTGCACACCTATAGTTGCCCAGTGATGGTTCAATGACAATTTTCCCTGGTGAAAAATAGAGGACTAAGTAAATAACTCAGTGCCTAGGATCCTGGGTTCGAAACTCAGTGTCATTCTATAGCAACAAAATGCTGGGTGGGGTGTCGGATGCCTGTAATCCTAGCACTTGGGAGGTAAAAGCAGAAAAAAATCAGGTTCAAAACAAACCATAAGAGGGCTGGGGGTGTGTGGCTTAGTGGGTAAAGTGTTTACTGCACATGCATGAGGACCTCAGTTTGGATCCCCAGCAACATGTAAAAAGCCTTTGTAAATCTGGGTGTGATGGCACCTGTAATCTCAGTACTGGGAAGTGGAGACAGGAGGTTCCCTAGGATTTACTGGCCACTCGGTGTAGCTATTTAGTGAGCTCTAGGTCCAGTGAGAGATACTGTCTCAAAAGATAAGATGGAGAACTGACAGCTTATCAGGTAAAGGTTCTTGTCACCAAGTCTGATAACCTGAGCTCTATCCCTGGGGTCCAGGGATGGAAGGAGAGAACCAGTTCACACAAGTGTCCTCTAACCTCCACACATTTGCTGTGGCCCATCAACTCCTCCCCCAATACAGAAATAAATCTAAAGAAAGGAAAAGAAAACAAGGTGGTGTGTGATAAAGGAAGACAGCAGTTATCTGGTTTCCACACACATACACAGACAAACACACCCTCACACACAAGCATGCAGCACACACATGTACATAACAAACAAACAAACAAACATAAGAGGACACAGAAAAAGGGGAGGCATGCTTCTCAAATGAGGAGACCCACACAAGCAAGAAAAGACACTCAGCTCTCATTAGGGAACACACAGTCATCTCCATGAGGTCCCCAGATGGCGGTGAGGCCAGTCTGAGAATAGGAGCCCTGAGGGAAGGTTCGGTGAACTGGGAATGAGAAGTAGAGAGGCATTTCCTGCAGGAGGAGGTGGAGGTAGGACTTCTAGTCCAGCTGGCTAAAGTAGGTCAGTGGCTCTTTAAGTCACAAAGGGGAGGATTCAACATTCACCCTACTGGGGTTGAGTCCCAGCATCTGATCTTTCCAAGCCAGGCCCTCCTCCTGCCCTTGCCTCATAAGAGATATTTGACCCATGAGCCGAGAGGAGGCTCTCTCACTGGCCGACTTTTGCCCCCACTGTGTTGGGAGCATGTAGCCTCTCTCCACCCTTGGAAGCTCCCCAAGGCCTGGAGTAGGTAGAGGTCAGGCACCTCGAGACTGAGGTGGGGTAGAAGCAGCTGCATAAGAAACATGGCTGCTTCCAGGTCGCCCATCAAAGAAAGCATAGAAAGAGGAATTTGGGTTGGATGTGAAACTTTGAGTTCCCACCAGGACTGGTGTGACAAATGCTTCTGATGTTTGTGTTCCCCACCATCCATCATGCCTGCTCTGCCGGGTGGGTCAGCCATGATTCCTTAGATTCCCATGGTGCCCCTTACAGGAAGCCACAATTCCTGCCTTTTAAGGATGGAAATAGTGAGGTTCAGGGAGAAGAAGGGGCTAAGGGGGGCATTGCTGCTGGGAACTTGGGTTCTGAGCTTGCGGCACTAATTGGCGCCCTCTGCTGGGCTCCACACAGTTGACACCCGTACTTTTGCCCTGAGGATAAGGATCAAAGTGTGAAAACTCTTTGCAAAGTGACATGAAGCCAGTGCTGCTTGATGTCACAAGTGGGAGCTCAATGTGTCTGGAGTCCTGCATCAGGGCTGGGATCTATCCCCATTCACACACAAAGATGCAACCAAGCCCAGTGTGGCAGGGCATCCAGGCTTTGGAACAAGTTTTGAGTAAGACAACCCTGGGCCATAGGTCAAGTTCTGTGGCAAACTTCATCTCTGACTCCTTGTTCCCTTGTCTGTAGAGTGAGTGAGACTAGCCGCTGCCTCACGAGGTCCTTGAGGCAACATCAGTGCTTAGCAGTTACTGCCTCTAGTTATGAGGGTTCCCAGCACCCTCATAACTCCAGTTCTGAGGGATCTTCAGGCTACCTGGCACCTGACAACACTCTTGTGTTGGACACTGGGCCTGTCTAAAGGGTCAGTGTCTTGATAGCTCAGAGGTTAAGAGCATAAATTGTTCTTCCAAAGACCTGAGTTTGTTTCCCAGCACCCATACCCAGCAGTTCACAGTTACCTGTAACTCCAGCTCCAGAGGATCTGACACCCTCTTCTGGCCCTGCACTCGTATACACATTTCCATATACGCATGATTTTAAAAACAAAATAAGCCAGGGTTGGAGAGATGGCTCAGTGGTTAGTCTTCCAGAGCACCCAAGTTCCCTTCCAAGCACACAAGACAAATGGTTCACAGCAGCCTGTGACTCCAGCACTAGGTTACCCAATGTCTCTGACCTCTGAAAGTACCCACATAACATGTGGCCTATACTCACACACACATAGACATAATATACACATATACACGATTAAAAACAAATCTTTAGCTGGGTGGTGGTGGCACATACCTTTAATCCCAGCACTCGGGAGGCAGAGGCAGGCAGATCTCTGTGAGCTTGAGGCAACCTGGTCTACAGAGCGAGTTCCAGGGCAGCCAGGGACAATGCATAGTGAGATCCTCTCTCAAATAAATAAATGGGCCACCTCTAGTGAGTTAGAGAGACTGCAGTAACCAATAGCATGAGGAGGTATGCCGGACTGAGTTACCATGAGTAAGCCTTGGGGTGATCTCTGCCTCAGTGGGGAACCAGGACAAACTTCCAGACACTAGAAGGACAGGGAGGGAGGTAGAATGTGTGGAAGGGAGTCTGAGGAGCCCCTTGCAGGAGGGAGTCCACACTGGGGCAGGAAGTTCTAGTTGGTTTGGAGCAGCTCAAGATGGAGAGTGGTTTCACAAGGAAGCTTTTTAGGGAACTGAAAGTCCATTGCTGTGACAAGAGGGTGGTGACTTGCTGGGCCTTGAGGTGCTAAGGGAATTGAGGCTGAAGCTCCCCGCCGTCCTGTGCAACGAGCCTGGGGGTGAGATGGTATGTAGGGAGGGCTACACCGTGAGTGTTCTGAGATCTGTTTTAGGAAGACCTCTCAGCTCAAGGGTGAGGTCAATGGCAGGGCATAGTGGTGGCTGGTGACACCACATTTAATCCAATCCAGACAGGAGCACCTGAGCCAGGAAGGCTGGTCTGAGAGGTCCAAGCTGAGTGAGGGGTGGGGCAACTCATTTAGGTTCCACACCTCTGACCCAGAAGAGAGGCTTACAGTATTGTCAAAGGAGCCAGGCTGTCAAATGAGTTAAAAGTTAGGCCCCAGGGGCTGGATAGTAGGCTTAGGGGTTAAGAGCACACTCTTGAAGAGGACCTGGATTTGGTTCCCAGCACCCTCATAACTCTAGTTCTGAGGGATCTTCAGGCTACCTGACACCCTCTTCTGACCTCTGCAAATTCTGGGTACCCATATGCTGCTTATACATACATTCAGGAAAAGCACTCAAACATAAAACAAGTGAATCTAAAATATTTATAAAAATAACTGGGCCCTAGTAACCAGGAGTGGGGCCAGACTTGACCCTTCCAAGATAAAATTCTTCAGTGAAGAGAGGTGTTGCCTCTCCCTATGCGATCCTATCAGTTAGGAGGGTGCCCCCTTCTGGCCAGAAGATAGATGCTGACTCAGGATAGCCTGGCTCTGTCACTTCAGGGTCAGAGTGATGAAGTGCTAGTGCTAAGTGACAAGAAGCCAAATGGCCTGAAGGGGATCTCTGAAGGAATGGGAAAGAGAGAGAAGAAAGGGAACCAGCTGTGTCTTTCCCAGCCTTTCGCCACTGACTTATGCTGTTGGAAGCAGAGAGGTGGGCAGGCCTAGGCCCACAGACTGGGGCAAAGGCATGGCTTTTCCTTGAGGAAGCCTTTACCCTGAAGGAGGTGCTTGAGGGACTGGAGAAGTACCTGCGTCAGCTGTGTCTGAGACTAAGGATCCCCCCTCCCATGTGTGAGAGGCTCTGGTTATCTGCACTGACCAGGACTGTGGGGAACCCATCCCAGCTCTCAGCAGACTCTTTCCACAGGAAGGGCCAAGCCCTGACTCCAGCCTTGACTCAGGCCCACGCACAGCCCCAACCCCGAAGCAGCCTTCTGGTGAGTGGTTTGGGAGATGAGGGTAGTGACCCAGCTTAGCTCTGGCTGATTACAAATCCTTCTGGGGCCTTCTGCTGGCTGGAAGAACCTCACCTGGTTTCTGTCTGCAGGTGGGAACCCTCCTTCAGAGGAGCCACCCCCCAGTCCAGGAGAAGAGGCTGGCCTGGTAAGGATCATCAGGTGGGTGGAGCTGGTGTGGTAATTTCTGAGCAGGCCCTGTGGTGAGCTCACCTGTCCTTGGCCTTCCCCTTCCGCTCCCAGCAACGATTCCAGGACACAAGTCAGTACGTGTACGCCGAGCTCCAGGCCCTGGAACAGGAGCAAGGGCAGATAGATGGGCGGGCTGCTGAGGTGGAGACACAGCTGAGGAGCCTCATGGAGTCAGGTGGGACAGGCATTTTGGGGTCCAGTCCTCCATAGTCTCCCTAGAGCTGCCCAGCCTTGCAGCAGCTCTGCCCCAGGGGGAGGGACAGCCAGAGTGGAAGAGGTGTATTGGAGGATTGTAGCGCAGGTTTGCGAGACGCCACCGGGAAACAAAAAGCTCCTTCCCCGATCCTCAGCCACTCTGCACAGACAGGAGGCAGCTCTGGTGACTGCCCTGGCCTAATTCAGGTGCCAACAGGCTGCAGGAGGAGGTGCTGATTGAGGAGTGGTTCACCCTGGTCAACAAGAAGAATGCCCTCATCCGGAGGCAGGACCAGCTGCAGCTTCTGTGAGTCGAGTCTCCTCAGGCCCTCCGGGCCTGTGCTGGCCCACCCACCAGCTGGCTAGTAGATGGAATGAATCCTAGCTTTTCTTAGGGTTATCACTCCTTCCTTCCTTCCTCCCTTCCTCCCTTCTTTCTTCCTGTGAAGATCTTTTTGGGGAAAATTTTTGCTTCTCAGTCTTACTAATATTTTGTCTTAACTATCTTACTATGTAAAAGCATACACCTCTTAACTTTTTAGTAAGAAAACAGGCCCTCCGATTTGACTCTAGTTTTACAGCAGGGAAAACAGGCTCAGAAACCTGAGCAGGTTCTGAAGTGGGTCAGCAAGCCACTCTCCCCCTGCATTACCATCCTGCATGCCAGAGGCTTTGCTTCCCCTTTGCATTTTGAATCATTTCCCCATAACAGTGTTAGCTTACCTTTTCATCCAAAGAATCCTTTTTGGGTATTTTTTTGTATAAAAGTGGGATGTGGGAAAGGAGCAACATACATTTCTGGAGTGTAACTGGAGGGCAGCTGGAGCAGCTGAGAACTCTGAATGGGCCTCCATGGAAACTGATGGAGATGAGGTGGTCACAGCCTTGGGCACACCCATCCCACTCTGTCTGACTTGGCACTCCTCCCCATCAGCATCGAGGAACAGGACTTGGAGCGGAGGTTTGAATTACTGAGCCGGGAACTGCGGGCCATGTTGGCCATTGAGGGTGAGAAACGGAACAGCAGAGGCAGGAGGCAGGACAGGGCCAGGGTGGGCACCCTCCTGACTCAGGCTCCTGGTCTCTTAGAGTGGCAGAAAACCGCTGCACAGCAGCACCGAGAGCAGCTCCTTTTGGAGGAGCTAGTATCACTGGTGAATCAGAGGGACGAGCTGGTCCGAGATCTGGACCAGAAGGAGCGAATGTGAGTTGGGGACCTGGATGGTTCTTGGGCACACTCCTGGAATGCCATGTCTGTAATCTCAGGGTTTGTAAGTAGGGCCAACTTTGAGACTGACTTGAGCCCTTTGGCCCTAGTGCTCTAGAAGAAGATGAGCGCCTGGAACGCGGCCTGGAGCAGCGACGTCGCAAGGTGAGCCGGCAGCTGAGCAGGCGGGAACGCTGCTCGCTGAGCTGAGCCTCCTGCCTGGTTCTCGCCCTTCTTTTCTCTGGTCACGGGACCCCTCCTCGCCAGTCCCCCTGCCTGCACAGCAGAGGACAACCCCCCGCCCCCCATGCTCCATCAGCGAGCAGAAGCAGGGGGGACCCGGACCTGCCCACTGGAGCATTTGAGCCTGCCAAGCAGTATTTATTTCTCCGAGTGTGTGTGAATGTTTTGGCAGCGGCCAGGATTCTAGGGGCGCTGCAGAGAACTCTTCTCCTGTGTCTACAAAGCCATGGCTTGGGAACTGCCACCTACATCCTCCTTCCCTTCTGTGTCTGGAGCAATAAAGTTTGACTAGGACAAACCAGCGCCTGCCCTTTCTCAGGATTTCAATAGAAGGAAGAGGGTGGGACTTAAGCTAATATGCTGTGTATGTGATTCTAGCCCATGCCAGCTGAGCTTGGTGGGTCACAGATGTGGCCTCCAAGGATGAGGGACAGAGGAAATTTCATTCTGAAAGAAAATCCAAAACCATATAGGTGGTGGTATACACCTATAAATCCAGTATCTCGGGTGATGGTGGATGTCAAAAGATCAGGAAGTCAACGCCAGCCTTGACTATGTTGGTGGTAGCACATATTTTTAATCCCAGCACTGGAGAGGCAAATCTCTGTGAATTCAAAGCCAGCTTGGTTTACCTTGTGACACTGTTCTAAACAGAAAAAAAAAAAAAAAAAATGAGATGGGTCATTCAGCTAGCCCAGTGGGAAAAAAACATTTGTTGGTCAAGCTTGAGGATCTGAGTTCAATCCCTGGAAGCACCTAAAGGTGACTAGGAGTGAACCAAACCCACAGAGTTGTCCTTTGACCTCCAAACATGGTCCTTGTCTCCACACTAGTGTACACCCACACACCCCACACTAGATTTTTTTTTTTTTTTTGATGTACTCATACAGTTGAGTTCTTTCTTTTCTGGTTCAGGAAGATTGTGTCGAGCCCAGAGCCTCCTGGTGTATGCTAAGCAGCACTTTAATTTTTTAAATTAACATGATCCCTGACATCCTTATACCATGAGCCTTTTCTTTCCTGTTGTATTTCCCAAGCATTCCTCAGAACCTCCAGCTCAGTGGCCTCCAATGTAAATGAGCTGAAGACCTGTCACCTGATTTGGATCAGCAAGCTGGAGTCTGTTCTGATGCTGATGCTGGAATGGTTTGCTCCAATGCTGGGGAGTCAGGAGGCATGGTACTCAGAGCCAGCTCATCTTGGCCTAGGATACCATCTTGGTCTTCATCTGTTCTAGAACCACTGGGTCCAAAGAATTTCACCATGGCACGGACCTGTGGCAGCTCCGAGAAGGTCTTTACTGCTAATAGCATGGCTAGGAGCCCCAGGAGCAAGTAACCTGGGGAGAAGGGCTAGTTAGGGCAGCTCTTAAGGTGCTCACAATGCTCCCCACCAACTTCCCAGTATCATCTACCCTGGTACTACTCACAACTCCCAACATGGGCCCTAGTATTCTTTGGACTACAATAACCATTACATGCCCTAGGGTAGGGTAAAATCTCTCTCTGAGTTGTAGTTCCTACTGGTCTATGGGAGTTAAGTGTAGACTCCTCTACCCTCCTCCTTTCTGGACTCACCAAGAAGTGCAAACTGTCCAAGGTGGTAAATGGCTGGATGCAGGCCACGGCCATGGCCAGGCAGCAAGTCCCCTAGGCCAATGGTGCTGAGTGAGCCGAAGCAGAAGTAGATGGCTTCCAACAGGCTGCAGTCACCCTGTATACCCCATAGCACCAGTGCTGGTAGCAGCACAAAGACACAGGCCACCAGGAGGCCCAGTCCTGCTGCCTGTAGCAGGGCAGCCTGGGCTGGTGCCAACTGCCACCGAACAGCTACCCAGGCACTAGGGCAATTGAGCACTGGCAGCAGGGAGTGACGCAGGGCAGCCGCCAGTGCTAGGGAGGCTGGCAGCCCAAGGGCAGCATAGACCACACAGAAGGCCTTTCCACCTGCGGATAGTGGGGCCATGTGGCCATAACCTGGAAAAGAGAACAGCAAGCTTTTGAGTAGGATGCCTATGGGGGGGAGGTCACATTTTCTCCATTTCCTCCCACAGAGGTCTGCCTTTTGGTAGTCAAAATGGCATGAACACTTCAGGCTGGGGTCCTCTTTGACTGGATGGTGGGCAGGTCCCTTCACCTCTCTGGGTTACTGTTGCCTTTTCTGGAAAATTAATCCTGAAGACATTCCCCTAGACCTTTTTCAGCCGGAACAACTGATGTTCTGTCTTTGACAGGTCTTCCCTCTCTTCCTTCCCCCGGACTTCAGGCGGAAATTAGAGAGCCACTTACATACTAGGTGTGTGTTATAGAGCTGATGGGCCCCCTAGCCTGATAACTGCTTCCTGAGGTTTATTAGTTCTTACCTTAACCAATATTTCTAAATCTACAACCAGAGAGGTGCCACCGGCTTCCATCCTCCACAGGTGTACCCTGTCTCTCTGTACCATATCTTGTGCTGCACTGAATTTCCATCTGCCCAGATGGGTAAGATTTACAGTGGGGGAAACAGGCAAGAAAGCAAGAAGTTCTGAGAATGAACTTTTCCAGCATGCATGAGAGAGAGCATTTAGAGCCAGGGAAACGGGAGCAAGAAAGGGAGAAGAGGTGGGGGATGGGCACACTGGAGGAACAGAGTCAGTGGGCTTCACAGGCTGTAAACGCCAAAGCTTATAGGAATCAGATGTGAGGTAAAGAGCAGTGAGGACCGGGTGGGCCAGAGGGCTTATGCTCCAAAGGAGAGGCCCCATTCTGCTCCAGCCAATTGGAAAAGAAGTTAGAAATACGTGTTGCACTTTAAAAAGTATTTAGACTATTTGCAGGACAACAAAACCAAACCAAACCCTAGGGCTCATTTCTCTGAGCCTGAGCACACGCTGTTCTCCTAGCCAGGAATTTCATCAACCCTACTTATTTCTGCACCCTGTTGACTGGGCTCCGAGAGCATCCCTACTTCCTCTCTTTACCCTCTTCAGAGGGCAGCTAAGCTGTTTCCTGCGGCATCTCTCCATCCAAGAATCTTTCCCACCCTGTTGTATTCTTTGTCTGGCTTCAGGCCTATGTGATCTGGACTTCTCTTCTGGATTCAGAGTGTATAGGGTGGGGCTGGTGAGGCCACACCCTCCTGGCAGCTTAAGTGGAGGCACCAGTCGGGGTGTGTTGTGTGGGGAGCCCCAGTTGTGATGCCAGGCCTGATAGAGCCAGGGCTTTGTCTGGAGCTTTGGGATAGGGGATGGGCTGGCAGATCCTCCTTCTGGATTGCCTGGTGGTGGTAGCCTACCGGTGGTGGTGAGGATGCTGGCAGTGAACAGCAGAGCTGAAGGCAGATCCCAGTTGCTTGCCTCGGAGCCGTTGCCCAGGCTGGAAACTCCATGGGCCTGTGCTCTCAGGGCTGCACCTAGCAGTTCCTCCAGTGCCTCAGGTGGCAAGCAGGCCCTGTGTTCTGCCTGGAAGGTAGACAGCTCAGCCTGGAGCTGGGCCTGGAGCTGGAGTGCTGGAGGGCCCTCGAGGGCCTGAAGCACCATGGTCCCAAGGCCCATGGCCAGCAGGTGGGCCACAACCAGAAGCAGGTATCGGGCCCAGGGCCTCAGACTCCCCATAGCATGGCACTGAGTCTCAGGCAGTGAGGGAGCTGGCTAAGTCACCACAGGCACCAGGGAGGGGTTGCAAAGGGCGTGGCGGGAGGTGCTGCGTGGGTAGGTGGCTGAGATGACTTGGGTGAGTGTGAATGCAGGGAGGTGAGCAGCAGCACTCCCAGTTTCTGGAGCAAGACATGGCAGCCAGACACTGGGGGTGGAGGAAGGCGCTGTGGTGAGAAGAATGGTGAGAAAATTCTAGCCTGGAGAGGGCCTCACACCTACTCAAAGTCACTTTTCCTCAGTCATGTATCTACTCCATTTCACTCATTCAGACACCAAGGAAGCGGGCAGATACAGGCTTCTCACTTGGTGCTCACACAAGAAATCTGCTGAGAAACCACCAGGGAGGGCAAGCTTCTCAGGAAAGCTCTTTGAAGGAAGTAACGTTTCAACCGGAGGCTAAGAAGCCAGTTATGAACTGGGTGGTTGGTCACAGCCCTCGGGAGGCAGAGGTAAGCCTGAGTATGAGGCCAGCCTGGTCTACAGAGTGAGTTCCAGAACAGCCAGGGCTGCACAGAGAAACCCTGTCTAGAAAAATAAAACAAAACAGAAGCCAGTTATGGCGCTGGAAAGATGGTTCAGCTGTAAAGAGCACTGGCTGCTCTTCCAGAGGGCCTGGGTTTGGTTCCTGTCATCTACATGGCAGCTCATAACTGCCTATAACTCCAGTTCCAGGGGGTCTGACCCTTCTTCTGGCTCCCTCCAGTGTCAGGCACACTTGTGGTGAAGACATGTAGTATATAGTGCCAAGTGTGATGGCACACACCTTCAATCCCTGCACTTGGGGGACAGAAGGGCAGATTTTTGTGAGTTTGAGGACAACTTGATCTACATAGTGAGTTCCAAGTCAGTTAGGGCTACAGAGTAAGACCAACTCAAAATAAATGAAATTAAATAAAAATTTTAAAATAGCATTAAAAAAGTTAGTCATACCAACCAAGAGACTAAGCACAAGGAAGGGTCTGAGGACATAGGCCTTTGAGAATAGTGGGCCCAGGGAAATTTCTACAAGATTCTATGGTATTCTGAGTGAAACAGTGGTGGTCTAGGCAGAGGATGGGAAAGAACTGAATTGTGGGATTTAGATGGAAGTAGTTGGGGAGAGAAATGAGGGAAGAGTACTCTGGACAGGTGATGCTGCCAAACTTCCTCCCAGTTTTTGCTGAGGATGTCCTGCCTCCCTGCCTGGCTAGACTGCAGACTGGGAATGGCTGCCATGTGTAAATTAGGTGTGGGGGGGGTTCACTCAAAAAACATAGAGGGGCCCTGGCCTGAAACAGAATCTCAAAGCAGTGTCGAGAATACCAGGGTGGGCCATGGTGATACCTGGTGGGCACTTAGTCTGCCTATATCCAGGCCATGGGCTAGAGATATACCCAGGACAAACATCTCGAGTGAGATGTTTCCCAGAAGGCTATGGGAGTAAGATCTACTGGGGAAGGGAAAGCAAGGCCCGGGAAGGCTTCCTAGGGATGATGATATTGCAGCTGGGTCCAGACAGGCAGGGACCACCCAGCAGCAAGGAGCAACAGGAAGCAGCATCGAGCAGCAGGGCAAACCTTCACTTGAATGGTAGAAATGACTGGATTAAACATGTGGAGTGGACAAAGCCTGGCAATGGTGAGCAGGTAGATGAGATCAGTTTCCGCAGTAGTGTTGGGGAGGTGGACAGGGGCCCTTATTGATTACCCAGATGGTGGGATGGGCCCTAGGAGAGGAGTGTGGTACCAGGCAGTCTAGATTTGTCTCAGGCTATTTATCTGCCCATTGCTTTAGGAGCATGAGGAGGAGAGGACCAGATTACCTCCAAGAAAGGAAACAGACTGCAATTGGGGAGACAGCTTACGAGTTTATTTGGCTTCATTGGTTCCCCAGCCAAGGCTCCAACCTTGGCTGGGGCAGTAGAAAGGCACCCAGAGAGACCTGGCTCTGATAGCCTCCAGAGTAGGGGATCCAGGAACTAGGACTTGGGGACAGGGGCCACAGTAACAGGACTTGGTCAAAAGTGCTGGTGACACCTGAGGTCGGCCCCTCTCCCTGTACCTCCCCCTCTCCCCTGCACCATTCCTGGGGGCAATTCCCTGAGACAGGCTCTGGTCCTCCCAACCAGCTAGGTACAGTGTCAGGCCCCAGCGGGGCAGGTAAGTCAGGAGACCTACAGGCTGTAGGTCTGTGGGGTGTAGCCACCCATCCAGTGTGAAGGCTTTCTGTGCAGTGTAGTGTTCCTGACCCCCCAAGGGGTCGGGGGCCCTGGGGGAAACCAAGGTAGCCACAGAGGCCTACCTGGTTCCTCTTCCAGTGTATGCGATGCCTCCTCTAAGGCAGCTGGGGGTGTGGCCTGGCCCACTCAAGGCCCTGCTTCTGGTGCCCATGGGGCCTGAGCATCTATGTCTTTGGTCTGTGTCCGGCAGTCTTGGGAGCCTCCCCGGAAGGGGTTGGCAGGTGGGGAGTCCCAGAAGGGATCTGAGTCCGGGAATAAAGTCCAAGGTGCCCGTCGGGGCGCAGGCTGTGGAGAGGGCAGGGGTGAAGGCCGTGGCCCAGCTGACACAAAGCTCCATGGGTCAATACGGCTACGGAGTGGTGAGGGCCGAGGTCGGCTGATAAGGCCCAAGGGTGGTGATCGAGGGGTTCCAGGGGTGCCGGGAGCTGAACGTGATATTCCTGGTGGGGGTGAGACAGTTCTTCCTATGGAGTTTTGAAGGAGTAAATGGTTAGATATCTACTAATTCCTAGGTGTCCCCAGACTGCCTTGCTCTGGCCTAATCATCTAGCTATTTCTGTGAGCTATCTGGTTCTAAGATTCCTCATGCTCTATGATATGCCTGTTCATTAGTGTTTCAGAACCAGACTGTCCTAGACCCCTCTGGGCTTGGCGACTCACTAGCTGTGGGAGCCCTGAGCCTTTACATCTACACGCTCTGTGCACCTCAACATTTCCTCATCTAAGCTGATCAGACCACTTAGTAGTTAAGGGCGCCTGCTGCTAGGACCCATATGATCTGAGTTGGGGGTGGGGACAAGAGAAGTTGTCATCCATATTTGCATTGCGGCATGTGTGCTCCCCACAATGAATACATAAATGTAAAAATAAATTAATTTCCTCATTTAGCCTGTCATCTCAAAACTTGGGATTCTGAGACAGGAGGGCTGGGAGTTGAGGCCAGCCTGGGATACATAGGGAGTGAGACCCTGCTTCAAATAACCAAACAAAAATACTTCATCTAAAAACTGTATAAGAATGCTTGATACATTGGAAAGAACAACGCCCAAATTCCCAAATATTGTGTATAAATGTTTGTTTTCATTTAATTGGAATTTGTTATATAAAATAAATTAAAAATAATAATAATAAAAAAAATAAAGTCATGCCGACCTCCACAAAAAAAAAAAAAAAAAAAGAATGCTTGATACAGAGCCAGGCTTGGTTGGTGCCTGCCTTTAATCCCAGCACTCAGGAGGCAGAGGCAGGCCAGATCTCTGTGAGTTCAAGGCCAGCCTGGTCTACAGAGTTAGTTCCAGGACAGGCTCCAAAGCAATACAGAGAAACCCTGTCTTGAAAAACAAAAACAAACAAACAAAAAAAGAGAATGTTTGATACAGCTGGGTGGTGGTGTTGCATGCCTTTAATCCCAGTACTTGGGAAGCAGAGGCAGGCAGATCTCTGTGAGTTCAAAGCAGCCTGGTCTACAGACAGAGTTCCAGGACAGTTAGGATGGTTATACAGAGAAACCCTGTCTCAAAAAAAAAAAAAAAAAAAGATTGTTTGATATGGGGCTGGTGTTAAGAACATTGGCCGGTCTTTGAAAGGACCCAGGTTCAATTCCCAGCACACACACACACACACACACACACACACACACACACACACACACGACAGCTTATAGAACTGTCTGTGTCTCTAGTTCCAGGGGATCAGACACCCTTAAATAGACATATATGCAGGCAAAACATGGTGGGTCTATGCTTACAAAAAAAAAAAAAAAAAAAAAAAAAAAAAGATTATAATTTAATGTAATAACCTCTCTACTGAATGGTTACAGTACTTGGTCCAATTAATCAATAGGAATTTGTCGCCATTAGGGAGATGTATATTATTTCACAGCTAAACCTAGAGCTCTACCAGTGGCCCCAGAGCCTAAGGATCTAGTTTGAGTCCCCAGCAGCTATCTGAGATCCTCAGTTCCTAGCAACTTCTCCCTTTTCACAGGACCTGTATCTTGCCCTCTGACTTAAGGTCACTCACCACGTATCTCTTCCCGCCGAGGGCTCTTGGCTGATGGCTGGCCAGAGGGAACACCTAGGTCCAGCAATAAGGGTGCAGGGGTGGGTGGGCCACGGGCATCAGGTGTTGTAGGTGAAAGGCGAATGAGTGGGGTGGAAGGCAGCTCGGCTGGGCAGGGTGAGGGCATCTGTGCAGGGGGTGGTGCTTGTGGGGGCTCCCCACGTTCACGGCTCAGGCCTCCAGGAGGCTGCAGGTCACGGCCCAGACCCAGGGAAGCTAGCAGAGCAGTGCCCCGCAGCAGTGCACGTTGGATCAATTTGGGAGTCCCCGAGCTGTTGCCGCGTTCTGTGGGTCCTGAGCGCCGTGGCTCCTCTGGCTCCGGGCTAGGTCGTGGAGGGTTACCTGTGAGCAGCATTGACACAGGTTTGATTGAGGCTAGTACGTCTGCTTGGTGAGAATCCTGGGGACCCCTCAGTGGCCTTGGAACAAGAACCAAGTCCTGCTCCCCACTGCCACCTTCCTGGGCTCTTTGGCGATCTGCAGAACCTCCCCATCACACACATTCTGCTCAAGGGAAGGGGTCTGGGGGCAGGGGCAACAACCTGAAGCAAAGTCTGGAAGCAGCTGTTGTAGAAGCTATCTTCCAAGCAGAATAGCTGACTTCCTCAGAGTAGCTATAACGACTTGCAAGAGACCTCTCCAGTCAGGGTTGTTTATGGTCCTCCATAGGAGGGCTCTGGGAGGATCATGACCTTCACCTCACCTTCTCAGGTGCTCT